TCAGATCACTTTATTATTTGGCTTAATAAATAATGATCCTAACACATTTAAATATGTATCATATATATACATGACCCAAATTTTACCAACAATTTAACCATTTTAGTATGTGTTTGCTCCATATCTCGTTTTTTAAACTTTTTTGTACTCCTTCTTTTGTTGTTACTTGTATGACTATTTTAAGATGAAATCTGTCCCCACTATATACCATTACGAGCACTCTATCCTAACAAAATCTATGTTGTTGCTTTCCAAACCGATGGCAAACAAAAGTGGTATGATGGACATCACAACATTGAAGAAAACTATTCTTCCACCAAATGATGTGTATTGTCTTGCGAATTCAATCTAGGTTAATGTTTTCATCATTTGGTCTCCATGATGATATACATTTTGCATGTGCACCCATCACAATTTCTAGACATACTTGAATGGTATTGCTTCCACAATACAATTAAGGTGTTCAACTATATTTGCGTTAACTAGGTCAAATTTACTTTTGCTCAAATTAACTATTAATCTACAATGAACTTACAAACATCCTCGAGACAAATTTGATAATCATGATATTTGCTCCTTCGCTTCTCAAAAGATTAACTATGGCGTCATCCGCAAATTTAGTTGTCATTTCTAGGCTCCCACCAGGTACCTTTTAGCAACTCTACATCTTTTGCTTTTCCTAACAACCAATTTCAACCTTTCTAGTGCTCTAAAATATTAAAAATATGGATATACATCCCTAATCATAGGATGGTAACGTTGTGACTTATTTCGTGTGACTTGAAAAAATTGGGGTGAACATCATTTTTTTTTTCTTAAAGATATTTTTTAAGTTAATTTTTCTTTTTTTATAAATCATGATTAACATGTTTTTATTAAAAGTATATCATAATTCAATTTTTCTTAATTTGTTATATTTTTCATACGTCTATAGTGCATATTTCTCTTTTTGTTAGGAAAAAGATAATTTGATATAAGTTAAATTGATGGTAATAAAGATCAAAATTGATAGCAAGCATTATGTGCAGTCAAGTTCCTTGGAAGTCTAAGTTTGCTTATGTGAAAATTTTGAATCAATCAAATTAATTGTTGTGAGAATCTAATTGAGTTAAATTAAAGGTTTCTAAAATTAAGAGTTAAATTTAAATAAGTGGATCAACACAAATTCGGAAAGGATCTCAATTACTCAAATTGATCCCAAAAAATTTCATTGTGCAATAATCCAGTGCTATAATTTTTAATTGAAAAATATTTGATTTTATTGTAATTAATTATAGACTTATTTTCTCTTAGTCGATCTCCTATAAATAAAGGTCCGATGAGAGTAGAAAAAAACAACATTCTTCTTGGGTGAAAACTGTTATTTTGTCTTGTTCCCATTTTCTTTTGTCCTGTTTTCATTTGCAGTTTTCTTTAGTTTAGTTTTTAATTTGGCAAGCTGAGTGAGGATCTACTCAATGTTTTGGTTTATTATTTTTTTATTTAATTTACAATTTCTCTTGAATTTTTCTATTTTATACTTGTTGTATTTGCTTTATTCATTTCACACTCAGTTTAATTTCTATTATCTACTTGTTTAGAATTTGTAGTTTATTCCAGTATTTGATTTACCTATTTTTTATTTTAATTTATCAATTATCCAATTCTAATTTTATTTTATTATTTTTTATTTCAATTTACAAATTAAATTTAGGTTTATCTCTGTGGACAATTTTAAATTTAATTACTTGTACTATTTTATTTTAAATAAAAAATAATTTTTATTCTACACTTTATTCTAGAAGTTCCAAATTTAATTAAAAGTACTAAGTTTTATTTTTATCTGCTTGAATTTAATTTTTGTTATTATTCTGCTACAATTTAATTCTATTTTTTCATTATTTTGCTTCTATTTATTTTTTTGCACTTTAGTTTTATTATCATTAACCCCTTATATTTTAATATTTTTAGAGAAAATGATGTTTTGTAATTAATACTACACAAATATAGAAAGCATTCATACCAAACATCATTTTCTCTACAAACAATAAATAACAGTAAATTGAAGGATTAATAATAAAACAAAAGTGTGAATAATAAATGGAAGCAAAATAAAATAAAATAAAATTATAATAGACTAATAACGAAAATTAAATTGAAGCAGAATAATGAAAATTTAAGTAACTAAAATTTATAAAAATAAAACTAAGTACTTTTAATTAAATTTGAAACTTTTTGAAATAAAGTGTAGAACCAAAAATTGATTTTTATTAAAATAAAAGAGTTCAATAATTAAATTTAAAAATGTCAAAAGAGATAAACCTAAATTTAAGTTATAAATTAGAATAAAAAAGAGTAAAATAAAATTGGAAAATTAGAATAAAAAATAATAAAATAAATTTGGAATCAAACAATTAATAGATTGAAAGTGAAGTAAATGGAATACTGAAATAAAATAATATTTCTAAATAAGTAGTTAATAGAAATTAAATGAAGTGTGAGATGAATAAAGTAAATACAACAATATAAAACTAAATCATTGAAGAAAAATCGCAAATTAAATAAAGAAGAATAAATAAAAAAGTTGTAGTAGACACTTACTAAACTCGTTAAACTAAAAAGTAATCCAAAAGAAACTAAAAATAAGGATAAGATAAAATAATAGTTCTCGTCCCAAAGGATATTGTACGTTTTACTCTCATGAAACCTTTATTTATAAGAGGGTGAAAAAAAAATAATAAAATTAATTATAATAAAATCAAATATTTCTTCAATTAAAACTTATAACACTAAATTATTAAGCAATGAGAAATTTGTGGGATTGATCCGGTGTTAATCTGCATTTAATTCTTAATTTCTCTATTCTTTAATTTAACTCAATTAGATTCTTCAACAATAACACATATGTGGACTCCCATAAACAAATTTGTGCTTCTAAAAAAAATAGTGAAACTCAGATCGCAAATCATGTTTGTTATAAATTTGGGTTTTTTTTTTATTAATTTAGTCCATTTAAAATTACTTTTCTCTTAAAAAAAAGAAATATAAACTATGGACGGAAGAATAGATGCATACTTTGATATTAAAATACAACGTAAAACTAAATTATGTTATATTTTTGTACGAAGATCTAAATTATGTTATGTTTTGTAAGGAGATATGTTAAATACATTATTTATGAAAAGAATGATTAGTTTAAAAAATATTCTTAAATAAAAAATAAAGAATGAAATAACACATTAACTTTAATCCATATAAAGTTTGGGGATTGAATATTTAACTCGCCCATATAAAAACGGTTTGCGGCTAAATAGTAGCAGAGATTCATAGGAACTGAAAAAGAGTTTTGGATTTTTTTTTTTTTTTACACACATACATATATAAGAAGTGTTAATATGTAAGCATACATGTGTTTAGAGATAGAATTGTTTGTTTGTAAAATGCAATATTAGCCTTTAATTCTTAAAGCATGTTTGTCCAAATGTAGACTATGTTTAAAAAAGATTCTTAAAATTTTTGGGATAAATAAAGTTGTCTATATAAGTTACTACTCTATTCTTTCCATTGTAATTGTTATTCCAGCTATTCAATATACTATTCAACGTCTTTTTCTTCTATCTTTTATGGTTATGAGCATTCTTTTTAAAATTAGATTGGTTACCAAACATGAATTCAAGATTTTTAAAATTAGATTGGTTAGCAGACATGAATTCAAGATTTAAATATTTAATTGATCTATCAAGATTAAATTGACAATATTTTTATAATATAATAAATTTATTATTAATAATAATTTTTATAAAAAAATAATAAATATTTTTATTATATATTATCAAAAATTTTAATGAAAATTATAAATATAACATATATTAAAAAGTGAAAGGTGGATAATTCTTAAAATAAAATAAAAATATAATAAAATAATTATTATTTAAAATTAATATGAGATAAAAAAAAATAAAATATATTATATTTTTATAAAAAAATTATATTAAAAATATTTGATTTTAAATATTTTTTTTATTAAAACTGGTTGAACCGAAAGCTCAACCAGTTTTTTCCAATTATTTAAAAGTATCAGACCAATTTTTAATTAGATTTTCAATTCAAGGTTGAACAGGTTGATTTAGTCCGATTTTTAAAACAGTGATAAAGAGAAATTAAAAAAATAATTTATCATATTAGAACTAAATTTTGTCCATTTAATATTTTGTTCTGTGGAAAATAATATAATTATGATAAAACTTAGAGTATTATGTTTTTTTTAGAATATATTAACCAAAACAGTATTCTGAAAAATTAATGAATAAATATAGCACATTAGAAAAAAATATGGAGAAAAACAACATTACTGTTCTTGTAAAATCGGTCCCATGATTGTCTCTAAAGTAACAACAAAAAACAAGAGCATAGGTCACTTCAGTTAATCAGAAGCAAAATAATAGTTTGATTCTTAATATTATATTGAAACAAGTGAAAAGAAATCTGGTATAAAACTTCTTCAGTATCAGTTCCAACTACTTTTTTTTTTTTTTGACAAATTTAATCTATCCCTTTTAATTTTGAAGGTAAATTTGAAGTTAACTACCTACCAAAAAATTGTACATTAAATGTTAAATAATGAAAATAAATAATAAAGAGTTGATGATTATTCAGATTCAAAAGAGAGAGAAAACACTGTGCCCCACCAAAGAAAAAGAAAATATAAAGAAGAGCACCAATGTGGGAAGTGAGATGGATTCTAATCTTCTGAGGGAAGGATATCAGAATCCTACCATATCAGGAGAATGGAAAGTAGTCTCAAACCCTAACAACCAACTACACTTGATTTTCTTGCTTTGGTATCTTTGCCACCCCCAAAAAAAGATAGCATACACAATGATCAATCCTCTCCACTCCCAATAATGAATAACTTGATCTTTTCAGTTTTAATTTGCTGATTATTCTCTCTCCACCTTCATTGACTACGTCTTAAGATCATCAGATCTTGTATGGTCCTCTGATGCATTGATACAAGTCAAATGAGAAAGGCTAGCAAGCACCACAAGGTTGTGGAGGAGAAAGAAGATTATAAGCTCGCCATGGATGAAAACAAGAAGTGGATGCATAAGGAAACTGAAAGACAAAGAAGGCAAGAGATGGGAAAACTCTGCACCAACCTTAGATCGCTTCTGCCTTTAGAATATATTAAGGTAAACACCTTCTACACTCAAACAACTTGCCTCTTCACTTGAAACTATTTATTTTTGTAATTATTTTCGTTTTTTATTCTTTCTAATTCTAATTTAAAGAGTAATTGAAATTTGAAACACACTAGTCATTAGGGGTGCTTTTATTCCATATCTTGACCATCATTAGGGAAAGCGTTCAACCTCAGATCATGTGCATGAGGCTATAAATTATATCAACCACCTAGAAAATAAGGTGAAGCAATTGCAAGCAAAGAGGGATGAGTTATTGAAGGAGTCAAATTTGAGTAGAATTGATCCTGATGAGAATGAAAACTGTAGAGCTACTCATCTTCCACCCTTGGTTTTTGTTCATCCTTTCCTGGGAGGCCTTGAGATTATGTGCAGCTATAGCTTGAGGAAAAGTGTGTTCCCCATGTCAAGATTATTGGACATTCTGCATAAAGAAGGACTTAACGTGGTTAGCACTACTTCCATCAGAAGAGATGGTAGATTCATACACACCATTCAATCAGAGGTACCATGTCAATTTATTTGTCGTTGAGCATTGTAGTAATTGGTTTTGAAACTGATTATTTATTATTCTTTTTGTATAAACTGATTTGAAGAATCCCAATCATCCGAATATAATTGGCATTGATTACTCTGAACTGCAAATAAAGCTTATGGAGGCATTATCATCTTCGGGTAAGCAGCAGCAGTAAAACATTATAGTACAAAATATTTTGTGTTCTTCACACAATTTTTTTTTTTCTTCTTCTGAATATTCAAATACAGAAATATAGTTACAACCATTTAACCATTTACAGGTTTGCAAGAGACTTTCCCTGAACCGGAAAATTGCTAATATCTTGGGAAAAATATATTATTTATTCGGATGTTTCTTATTGCATATACCAGTAACTTGAGTGATTTGTACAGCAGTGTACTTTTTAAATTGTTCGTTATCTGCCATATTTGTTGGTGCAGTACAAAGGGTAGCTAGTTGACGATTCAATTTCATGGAGGTAATGTACTACCATGAGGTCATTGATCTCTTTTTTCATGGAAGTTAGACCAAAAGACATGCATAGATTTCTTAATGATGTTCAATGTTTTGTATACACGTTTCTGCATTTAATTCTTTCAATTGTTATTTTTTAATAGCCACATCATTTGATTTAAATATCTAGTGGTATTACTTAACAAGGTTTTAATTAAACTTTTACATATCAAAGATTGTTATAAAACTTTCAGCTACAATTTAAAACCTTGTTATTTTCTTCTTCATCAACACAACATCAAGTATTAGAATGTTCATCATACATTATCATTTCTTCGGCTTCAGTTCCAATAATAACTGCATTAGCTATTTGACACTGATAGTTAAGATAAAAAATTGAATTGGGTGCAACGCATCCAATATTCTGTGTTTTGGTTTTCATCTTGGTACATTTCCAGCCCAGAGTCTTTATTTACGTCAAAATTTTGTTTCTCTCTACGCGGTAGCATTTTTCGTAACACGTATCTTGTTGTTCATAGTCTTTTTTTCTAGCAGGTGTTATATAAAAACACTTCGATCTTTAATAGAAAAAGAAGGGAACTATGAAATTGATAGCTCCATTCATATTTCTGCGCACAAAATACCTAATACAAGTGACCATAGGCAGTTATGTATGTTAGCGATGCATAGTAAGAACAATCCATGACTTGAGACACGTAAGCCACCGGAAAGATCCTGGCATCGCCATAAATGTACACAAAGTACAATATACTGAAGAACCATAATATACAAGAAATGTTTTCAATGCAGATAGCTAGTAAATTAAGAATATTATATTGAAGTGTTACCAATAATATATATTTTAAAAAAACAGACGAGGTAAACCTCATAGTACTTTTTTTTTTTTTTTTAAATGTGTAGTTCTTAATTAGTAAGAAAAAACAAGAGGAAAACAGTTTTAAGAAACCCATGCAACTCGTAGATTGCAAAAAAGAAGAAGCTGCAGCCTGTGACTCAACATGTGGTATAAGATCAGTTAAACCATTATATATGTTGGTCCCTTAACTTCTCTTTATTGCATGTGGAACCATGTTTTTAGGGAATATATCTAATCAAGATGATGATGCATAGCTAGGTTTTGTCTAACCAAGATGAGTAGTTGTAGGATCTTCGAAGCAGGCAAAGTCTTGTAAGCATGAAGAGTTGAACCATGCTTCAAATTCAAACACGATTATCTTCAAAAGAGAAAAAGAAAGCAAAAAAAAGTACGAAAAGATAGTGCCTCTATTGTTCCTCAAGCATTTTAGTTGGATGTTAATGATCCATTTGGACTTGTTTTGAGAATTTGCACAATTCAAAATTTAGTTCAGAACCATTCCAATTTAAGTGATGATTGCATTCATGGGTCCATTGTGCGACAAGGACTTGGTAGTGTGTCAAAGCAATTATATTTAGCAGATATGAGACCAACCTTATCCAATTATTTTATTAGTTAGAAATTCCAAAACACTAGTTCTGACCACTGAATCTGAATCATTATTATAGGAGGGAAGCGAAGATATGACAACTAAGCTAATCTTCTCTGCACTGCTTTAAAGGCATTATTATCGATCGCAGGTTCAGTGTTTATGGACTCATGTCATAAAGTGGTGTCTAGAGTATGATCCCCCTTGTGCAAATCAAACTAAAGCACACGAATATAATCAAACTAATACATGTTTAATCTCTAATCCAAACAATATCTTCCTTGACAATGCTTGTCATGTGGTCCAAAAGAAAAACTATTTTGCATGAACTTCATTGAATTAGCATTATTCGACCCTCATTCAATTCATTATTTTGAAAAACTTCATAAACATTGTAGTTTTATCCACGTTGCACTAAAGAAAAACCCTTAACAGAATTGTCACATGGGGGTGGCTAAAAACATAGGAAACAAACTTGGTCCACAAATCGTGAATACTGAAATCAGAACCAGATAAGCCGTAGCAGGTACTAGTCCCCACTGTCCACTACCATATTAATATGAACAGTTTCTTAGGCCACGATCAATGCTCTTCCAACCTCCACGTAGATCTTGGGATGATCCAAATTGAGTATCTCAATCACCTTTGTTACTATCTCCATCCATCGTATTTAATTGAGTGTTCCATATATATCACTATATGATGTAGGGAAGCCAAGAAGTGGGTGGGGATATATACTAAACTAAACAAAGTCCAAAGAATACAGTTCTAACAAAATCGTGGATTTATCTCCTCGAATCTTCTTGCAAGCTTGTCACTTTAATATGCAGATATGCAGGTTGATACTCTCAGTTTAAAGCATTAATAATAACTAGTTTTAGTATTATATAGACATAAATAACTTAAATAATATGCTTTAAAGATATGATTGTGTTCATGCAAGATCGTAGTACAAAAGCAATGTGCTCTATGACTTGAATACAGTAACAAATGAGTGAGTGGTGGATGTAACTAAGTAAAGATTGTCCCATATTATTTTGTGATAAATGGTAGGTGAAAGATGGTGACCATTTAAAGTAATCTTAAAAGGTTACGAGAATATATGTTTATTATATTTTTATTAACATTAGATATTAAAATATTTTTATTATATTTTAGAATTAAAAAAATATTTTAATTATTATTTTAATTTGGGTAATTAAGATTAAAATATTGTTGATATTTTATTATGTTTTTACCACAATTGTTTTTACTCATTGTGTATCAAGAAAGGTTTAAAATGGAGAACTAGTTTGATTTTGACACAAAATTTTGGATTCGTAATGTCAGTCCAAAGGATATTGAGTAATAATATTGTGTTCCAGTGATTTTTTTTATTATTATTATTTTTTTCTAGGTCAATGGTGGATTAAATTTGATAAATTTCATTTTGCTCATTTGGTAATATGGATAATTTAAAAAAAAAAAAAAATCTCTAACTGGTTTATTGATTTTCTCTTTATTCTTCCCTTTGATTTTGACCTTGAAAAACTTTTGTCCTCGGGTTAAAGTAACTCTTATACAATACTTTTTAATAAAAAATTGCTTAAAAAAATAATATAATTCACAGTAAAATAATTAAAAAATAATATAATAAGACAATCCATATTTCACACTTAACATGAAACTGAGACACAGTGGGATAATACAAAAGCGAATACACTGCTTTTGGTTCATTGGACTTTTTTATTTTTTGTTTAAAGTAGACACTAGACACTAGACTAATTGGGTCTCAATTAATGTGGCTTATGGATTTATTTTTTCTCTTTTTTTTGGGGCCCAAAACATAGCTTTAATCACTATCTGGGCCTACAAAAGCTTTATTTTTGGACAAAACATTGCATTAGTCAATCATACATTAATCAAACATCATAAATTTTCACATAAACTTTTATGAAGCAGATGAAAGAGTTTAGTTACATTTAAAACTAAGTGCTAAATGTTGCCTTATAAAAATTGAAATTATAAAGCAGATATATATAATAAACTGAATTCATTTTCCACTCAAATAATTATATTAAATATTTATTAATACTCATTACCATAATAATAATAATAATAATAATATACAAATAATCTTCTCATTTAATATTTAAGTGCATTAATGAATATTATTATTACTCAACTTGATAATATACTGACTTAAACATTAGGTTGTCTTTGTAATTAGACCTCCTCATTTTTCTCAATCACTAAAAATCAAATTTAATCAACATAACTCAAATTATTCAACACTAATTACTAAACAATTGAAGTAAAGGGAGTATCTGTTCTCTATGTTTCTGAAGGAGATAGTGTTTGACTTTTACTAGTGACCCCTAATTTACTTTGACTTTAGTAGGAGCCAAAAGCCATTGTTTTCATAATTAAATAATTAATCATTTACATGTCACATACTTTACTTTACTAATGTGGGTTGGTTAACAGGTTGGGTGTCTATTTTAGGTTATAAGAAAATAGTAAAAAATATATTTTTAAGTGTGTCGTTATACTGAAGATGTACCCATGCAACTACTGAACCAAAATTTTATTTTAGTACCCTATTGAGAAATACCACTTCAACTTGGAGAGTTAGAAATGTAATTAGGCGTATTATAACTAAAACATTTCTTATAATTCATTAATATTATTCTCATTTCACTAAAAGAAACATTGGAATATAGACTAATTTAGAGGTAAAAAAATATTCATTTATTATGTAGACTTATTTAAAACTTAATTCAGAAAACATGGATTGTTATTTTTCAAATTATCTTCTATTGTCATTGAACATTTTTGTGAATTGAGTATTTTATTTGAACTTATATTCCAATTTAGTCTACAATTCTTTTAATCAGAATTTTTAACTTAGAAATCATTAATTGGATCTCTGTTAATTATTGTTACAAAATGTCTATAATAATAAAGGAGATAAAAAATAGGGAAATTCAACATGAATTATATATATATATATATATATATATATATATATATATATATATATATATATATATATGATAGAAAAGAAAGAAGATGTATGAAAAATATAATTTATTTTAATTCCTAAAAAGATTTTTTTTTAATTTCTATAAATGTTTCAAATACATATAATAAATATCCTTTCCTTTCATTTTGTTTTTAATATTGATAATGTTATTTAGCACATTATAATGAATGAAAAAGAAAAACTTAAGAACTAAATATTAAAGAATTTAAAACACATTTAAGTCGGCATATAACATAACTCAAGAAATTGATGTGTATAAGGTGTGATATGAAGGGCAAAACAAATAAAAAAAATGAGAGGTCAACGACTCAACTTTTGATTAGACGCAAGAGACATCTCTCATATCATATTTCTTCCTCTAAGCATTTTCTAATAATCACACCAATTACTTTGGTTAGTGGCTTTGTCCTTAGAAAATGTTCGTCACGTCACTTTTTCCTCGTATATTAATATGGGGTGGTAAAACTAGAATATAATTTCTCGATTAAAAGTGCATATTCTGTGATACTTTTTGTGGAATTTTCACACCATTTAAGTAATCAGAAAAACAGATTCTTTTTCAATTCCGTATTATGAAAGGGTAACAGCTAATACTGTACTTGATAAAAATTTTAAAGGGTTAGTTAAAAATCTTATTAATGAGCACCAAACTTGGAATCTACCTCCATGGCTAATTTTTAGCCGTTGATCAGAAGTGGGGGTGGCAGTGACAGCATCACTTTCCATGGGTTAAATTATCCAAATCAAGCTCTTATAGGACCATCAATTTATCTATACAACGAGTAAGACTAGTTGGTGTATTGTAATAATTATAAAGATCCCATTAGAGTTGGTGACTTATACCAACAGTAATATAAAATGTGTGATATTTCCAATGAAAAAGGAAGCTTGATGAAGGCTAAAAAACAATGGCATAGGCCACAATTTAAGGCATAAAATATACACAGAATTTGCTTGCGTATACACCATTATATTAACCTTCAGAGTCCTTGACTTCCAAGGTAGTCCCTTGTCGATACCATAACCATCTTGTTTCTTCCTTGCATTTGCCGGTTTAAATTGTGCTTTTTCTTGCAGGATTTGAGTTGAGCCTATTTTTCATTTTGTTTTAACTTCAACCTTTTGAACCCTTCCAACTTTTTCTTCTGTCAAAGTGAACTAAGATTCTAAAGATTCTTCCTGCAAACAATGAACTTGAAACAGTACTGTTGCTTCCTCTTAGATGAAGGGCAAAGCAAAATTCAGTATGGTTTTCATCAAACTTGTTATATCTGCTTAATTTTCATGCTCACAAATTCGTGAATTAGTGTTAATAATTTTATATTTGCCCTTGATGTATTTGTTTGTTTGTTTTTTTTTTCTATTTTCTTATACCAGGATTGCTAAGAAGAACAGTAGGGATTATCCATGGGAAATGTACACCTTGAAGGAGTTGCTGAGAGCAACAAACAACTTTCATCAAGATAATAAGATTGGAGAGGGTGGATTTGGAAGTGTTTATTTTGGTCGAACAAGTAAAGGCGTTCAGGCAATCACTCATAACAATATCTTTCAGTTTTCAATTTGAATTTATTGTTTGTTATAAACTTTAACCATGGTATATCTTCTTTTGAATGCACAACTAAATTTGCATTCTTTTTAATATGAACTATGCATATATACTGCACAAAATAAATCGATTTGAATAGATATTTAAAATGGAATATGCAGATTGCAGTGAAGCGATTGAAGACAATGACTGCTAAAGCAGAAATGGAGTTTGCAGTGGAAGTGGAAGTATTAGGAAGAGTGAGGCACAATAATTTGCTGGGATTGAGGGGATTCTATGCAGGAGGAGAGGAAAGGTTGATTGTGTATGATTACATGCCTAATCACAGCTTGCTAACACATTTGCATGGTCCACTTGCAAAGGAATGTCAGCTAGATTGGGCAAGAAGAATGAGCATAGCCATTGGAGCTGCTGAAGGTTTAGCGTATGTGTATACCTTCTCCCATATTTTCTTTCATGGTTTTCAATTGCAATATAGTGGATGCAATCACAATTATACTCTAAAATATCTCAAAAATCTTGACATTGAAGCAACATCTGTTGCAAACTGTTTTTCAAAATATTGTTTCCTGTACACTCATCTATGTTTGATTGTTTCATGTTTAGGTCAAAATTTTCACAATGAAATACACAATATTTGTTAAATAATGTTAAAGATATTAGAATATATATTTAAACCTAATTCAATCTTACCAAAATCATTATAATGTAGTGTTAGATTTTTAACTGAGTACTTTTTCATGTTGAGAATTAGATATATCGAGTGTTAAACTGAGTATTTATAAGTAGTTATTCATAATCAGAATAGATTTAATAAATCTCATTAAAACAGATAAAATAATATAAATGAAATAAAGAATAATATGGTCAAGATATCATGTTAAAAGATTCCTCTAAAAAGTTATCTTTTGAAACCGAATCATGATTAAAATATTTAAATGATCGAGGGTTATTTCTGAACCAAAACTATTTGCTTCCATATGAAATATTCCATTCATGCATCATTTAATGTTACTATTTAAATAATTGATCCTTGTTGTCAATATCTATTTCCTTTTGGATTAGGTACTTGCACCATGAGTCAACTCCTCACATCATACACAGAGATATAAAGGCAAGTAATGTTCTTCTAGACTCTGAATTTCAAGCCAAGGTTGCTGATTTTGGTTTTGCAAAGCTAGTACCAGATGGTGTGACCCATCTCACCACAAAGGTTAAAGGCACCCTAGGATATTTGGCTCCAGAATATGCCATGTGGGGAAAAGTTTCTGAGAGTTGTGATGTCTACAGCTTTGGAATTTTACTGTTGGAGATTATTAGTGCCAAGAAACCCATTGAGAAATTTCCTGGAGGAGTGAAAAGGGATATTGTTCAATGGGCCATACCATATGTCGACAAAGGTCTCTTCAACAATATTGCAGATACAAAATTGAAGGGGAAATTTGATTTGCAGCAGCTGAAAAATGTGATCACGATAGCTCTTAGATGCACTGATAATAGCGCAGATAAGAGGCCTAGCATGAAAGAGGTCGTGGATTGGCTCAAGAATGGTGTAGGGAGCACTTAGGAGGAGAAGAGATTATAATTTTGAGTAACAAAAATGGAGATGAAGAAAATGATCTACAAAATTGATACTATGAGGAAACTAATATGAAACAAAAGAAATATCAAGTGATATGTATAAAGTGATATATTTTTGCGTCTTTTTATTCTGGTTTATTTCTGATGTTTAATATGCATCTTCCTGTTTGAGAAAATGAGATTGTCATTAATTGAATTTGTGAAATTTTAAGGTATCTTTCCGGCACTAGTGTGTCTACCTATGTAGCTATCAGTAAAATCATACAACTAGGTTTTCTACTCTAGAATTTATTGGGGGCTACAACTCTATATACACAATTCTATATATGACCCTTTTGATGTTAGGGGCTACAACTTAGTATTTCTTTTTTCTCAGAAAGGATCTTCTTGAACATTTTGTGTATTTAATATTCATTAGGTGAGAAGAGTAGAGAGAGAAGAAAATTCTCCTTGTATACATTTGGAAGAGATGAATAGGGAACATTTCAACTTTCTAATTTAACACCACAAATTTCATTTCAAGTGCATCATGCTTGAAAGGATTCGAGGGTAAGATTGTATTAAGAAATTTAAACATTTTTTTCTCTCAAAATCTAATAATTAGTTGGAAAATGATTTGTGAATAATAGATGATAGATCATTGTTCTCTGAAATTTTAGAGTGTATTTTTAAAATGCATATTTTTTCTTAAAAAAAATAATGAGATAAAGATAATGGTAAAAGTGTGAATCATTTTATTTTCATACAATATTTATATAATAACAAGTAAAGTAATACATTTGAGTATTTATAGAATTTAAGAATGAGAACAAGTATTTTATAGTTAAAAAAAAAATTACTACAATCAATTAAAGTAAAGTGTTGTGATATATATACTTTCTATTCTAGTTCTTATATAGAAAATTATTGATTTTCTTCACAGGAGAAAGATAGAGATAAAATATCTGGGCCAATGAACTGCAAACTAGTGTTTGAAGTAGTGGTTGGTTTAGGCTCTCATTGTTTGGACTCCCTCTTTTGCTAACCGCACCCCCTTTTAATTCTTTTATTTGAACTTTTCTCGTTCTTGTTTGATGTTATGGGTAGTAGAATACGAAGAGATAAGAATGTTTTAGAAAGTATTTTTCGAAACACTATTTTTACATTCTAGATTTTTTTTTTTCAAGTACTCTTTTCATTTTTCATGTTTCAAAAAGTTTTTTTTTTTTGAAATAAGAAAATAAAAATAAGTTTCAAAAAGTACATTTTTAAATGTAAAGAGAATATGTTTTGAAAATTAATTTCTATAACACTCCTCTCAGTTTTCACATTTCTTAAATATTAAGAAAATAAAAAAATATATAGCAAAAAATACAATTTAAAAAGAGAAACAATCTTACACACTCTTTTCTATCATAAATTTTGAAATTTACTTTCCAAAATCCATTTTTGTTTTGTTTACATTCCGCGAATATTTTCATAACATGAAAAATCAATGGTGTTCATAAAAATACTTTGTGGAATGTAAGAAACATAAAAACGTGTGTTTTCGAAAGTATTTTAGAAGGATGCGTCGAACGAGTAATAAATATACCAATTTAATTGAAAAGAAAAAAACTTATTTTTAATTAAGTTTGGCAGAATAAAACATAAAAATGCTTTGTCGCAAGGTTGGCAGAGTAAAACATAAAAAAATGTGTGTACTACGTAAAGAAATACAAATGAGACAAGAGAGAAAGGAAAATTATAAGAAAATATGACATTCTTAAATAAAAGAGACAAAAGAGGGATATGGACACCAAAAAAAATAATAAAAAATGTAAACAGCTTGAGCAAGTGTTTGCACTGGGCCTGACATAATAGCCCATATTTAAATCAGCTCAATTAAGTGATAACAAAGAACTAGATTTGACAAAGCATTCACTGAAACTTGTTTTAAACTCATGAAATTTGTTTCATTTGCTCATTTAAACTCATGAAATTTGTTTTAAGTAAAACTAAGGACTGGTTTTATTGATTTTAATATTGAGGTGCAAACTGACAAATAGTCTCAAATTTAGAACAAAAAAATGTTAACTTGTAGTATAACCAATATAAGCCAAGGGGAAGAAGCCAAATTGGAAATGGCAACAGCTTTATTATCCCAAATCCCAACATATGAGTGATGCAGTGATTCATAGTGAATAGGGTAAGGAAATCTATAAACAACACGAGTGTTGTATAGCTGCGAAATCTAGTCATCCTAAATATCCGTTGCCTATATAAATCAGAAGAGGGAATAGACTATAGTCTATAGCCCTTATGAAACAAAACCTCTCTCTCTCTCTGTTTCTTTTCTTATCGCCATTCTCTTTAGGAAGTTTTTTTTTTTTTTTATTAGACACAGACACAATATAATTTTCTCCTTTGATTCACCTCTCTCCGCTGCATTCAACCCAATTAATCTGTATCTGTATCAGCACAAAAGCATAATGAGTTTCTACATCACACGTATAAATATATCTATGGTGTGAATGAAAGTAGACATAGATGATAGATCTTTCAAATAAAATGTAGCAGATAATTGAATATTTGAACAGAAATGAATTATTTATGAAAGCATGACAGAAAAAGTGTGTAGGTATGTATGCATCTGTCTCCGTGACTGTGTCTGTCTGTGTGTGAGTAGTACATATATAGTATTATGATGAAGAGAGAGAAGAGTGAGTGTAGGTGAAGCCGGCCTAAGAAGGGTAGGTCTTAGGAGAAAGTGAGAGAGAAATGAGTTGTTGGTGAGATGCAGCATATGCCATTCATTCTGTGTTGTGGTGTGTTGTGTTTCTATAGCTAACGGTTTTAGAAATGCAATGCAAGGAGTGAAGAGAAAAAGTGAAGGATGGGGTCAGAGATTGTTTAGTTTAGATTTGTACATATTTGTGTGCATGAGTGTTGTGGTGTGTGTAGGAAGCACGATGGCGTACAGCTCAATGGATGATGGATGGATGGATGCAGAGAATGCAGCAGCTTTATGGGAAACTAGAAAGGGAGAGGTGAGATGAGAGAGATGGGATAGAGCATGTTGTAGCAGTCACGAGTTGCTGCTGCTAGTAGTGTGCTACTACTGCTTCTGCTAATAGGGATGGATGGATCAAAACCCAAAATTCATGTTGATTCAGTGACTACAATAACACCATGTCATCTCCATGCAACAGAATTTGATGTAACTTGTCGGTCCCTAAAGTACCTTCCATTGCATTTAATATTATACCTCCCTTCTTCTCTCTCTTTACTTTTCCATAAATTATACTACTCGATTTTTATTAGTTTAATAATTTCAAAACTTCAAATTTAGATTCATGTTTACAGGTGTTAATTTAGTTTTTCTTTTAAGTTGTCAGAGTTATTTTACTTAATTTAGGACATGTTTTTACAGATAATAAATAAATCAGTTTTTGAAGTTTATCCTATTATACGAGATAATGACATTTTTTTAAATACTCTTATTATAATGTTACGTAATTAGGAAATTTTAGGATGACACATGTAAATACGTAAGTTTAAAATTCAATGTTTACGATAGACTGCATATAACTATAATACACTGCAAAATCTTGGTATAGATTGTACAATAGAAGGAAGTGATTGATATCTGAAGTTTCTGAAGTCCAACCATTCATCAATTTTGACTTCTACAATCTCCACCCGGTTGTGTGGATGGTAAAGAAAGAAATTAAGAAAAATGGTGAAGAAAGAGTATGGTTAGGATGAATAAAGTCAGTGGACGTACATGCTTTTATCTTCTCCAAATGTATTGTTGACTCGAGATTTAACAAATAATGGTGATTTTGAACTCGTAGAGCGAAAAAATAAAGGAGAATGAGAATAGAATTACTTTATTATCGTTGTTCGTTTTGAATAGATGAGAATTAATTCTCTATGACACAATTGAATTGATTTTCAATTATGATAATTAATTCTCTTTTATTAAAACTAAATTGTACATGGATAAGAAACTATTCTCAATAGAAAAAAAATGAATTCTATCTTAGTAAGAATTAGTTTTCAAATAATTTATTAATATTAAATTATACATATATTTAATGCATTTAATTACTATTATTAAATAATAGGTTATGCTTGTTATATATATTTTTAATATTAAAAATATTATTAATAGAGAGAATGCATTCTCACCTAATCAGAGTAGAATCAATTCTCCTTCTCAAATTATTTATTAGTATTAATAGATTTCACAATTTTCCTTCGTTTTTAATTTTTTTATTAATATTAAACTATATTTATATTTAATTATTAAATAATAATTTGAATTTTTTATATATATATATATATATATATATATAATATTAATAGTGTTATTAATATATTAATAGACAAAATGCATTACAGGAAAATCAAATTTTTATTAGTATTAATAGAGAATTGATTCTCACTTTTATGAGAATGGATTTTCCTTTGTTCTTAAATTTTTTATTAATATTAAATTATATATATATATAATAATTATTATTATTAAATAATAATTTAGGTTTGATATATATGTATTTAGTATTAATAATGTTATTAATATATAATATTAAAAAAATTATTTATTATTATATTAATGATACATTAATAATTTTATTTATTATTATATTAATGATAAATTAACAAGTTTATAATTATTAATTATTTAAAATATTTTATACTATATACATATTTGATATGATTTTATAAGTTAATTATTAAATATAATATAATTATAAATTTTAGTAAAAGAATATATAAATTAAATAATCAATGTAAAAAATATATTTTAATAATCTCGATATTAATACTAATAATATTATAAATTTTAATTTTAATTTTAGAAAAAATATCAATAATAATAATAATATTGTGTATTAATACTGTAAATAAAATAATAATAAAAAACTAGATAAAATAATAATACGTAAATAAATACAAATTTAAAATTATTATTTTTATAATGTGTTTAGTTTTATATTTTTTTCATTTTTTTACCTTATA